GGAATTTTTGGTGCTGGTGCTCACTCGACTCTCCAAATCCTGACCGAAACAACACACCTGGCAGTTTGCGCACATTATCGCATGAATTGAAAATTCTTCTTGGTTACTTCTCTTGCCATCATTTTCGTTTGAAGATGAAAGCGCGCGGAAAAGAGAGGGCAGTTATGTCAACATGCGAGTGAGATTTACCTAAAATAATTATTATTCCAATATCAGACCCCAAGGCAAAATCATGACCCATTATCAGCCCTATAATACTCAAGGCCATAACCTTTGGACGGAACCTAGCAATGAAGCTATATGCTCTAGGGTCATACTTCTCTTCCCATCCTGAGACAAGCGCACTTTGTTATTCAAACCGCAAAGCGCAGAGTTAAACTAATTTCCGCCTGTTGTGCCAAGAAACGCCAACGAACTAGTGTCTGCAAACACGTGTGATGCACGTGAAACTGTGTGGATGCGAGGCACAAATGCATAAAATTGAAGATTTCGTATCTTATCTCAGCGACTACATAAAAAGATAGAGAGTGCAGGGTAAAATAATAAAATAACACAGTATAAGTTACTTTTAGTAGTTTTAGCACTTTTAAAGGGTTGTGAAAAGCACTTGGAAACAGTTTCCGTATGTGCAGTATTCCAAGTCTACATTACTTTAAAAGATTATACCTTTTTACTCTAAATGTCTGCTGTTGACTATGATATTATTTTACATACACTGTTCATTTATAATTTTAACATTATCTAAAATTTATATTCATCAGCATATCATGGAACGTGCTTTTCTCGCTGCTCTCGCTTCCACACGATGACAGTTCCCTTAAAAAGACAACATATATAAAATAAGTATACTTTCACAACAGACAACAAATCAATAGTCACCTATTCAGACTAAGATGGTGCTTCCAGATAACTCCACCCTCCTCTCTTCCCCTTTCCTCATCTGTCCAGCCCTTGCATGCCCTGCTCAACCCTGAGTGCCCTCCTTTCCCCCTTCTTGCCTCCCCCTGCCCTCCCATTGTCATATCTTCGCGTCGCGAAAACTTTTGGTAAGGACTTATAGAAATGATCAGGATTCCCAGGCTGAGACGTAGTTGTCCCGCTTAGATAGGAAGAATAATAAAATCATATTCCTTGGCCGGCACAAAATACAAAGCAACAGCACTTGTTCTCCTTAGACTATAGATGCACAAAAAGTTAGGCAAGTCATCTACCTCAGTATCACAAGATGCCAGTAAGCTCTCATCATAGTTCCAGCAAACGTCGAGGACTGGTGCCGAGTGGCCAAGAAGTTTGTTGACGCAAGGCTTCTCAGCGCGTTCAACATCGAAGAAATACACCGCCATGTCTTCGCTGCCGCTCACTACAGGATAAAAAGCGCATAATATAATATCACACGTATCGACGCTTAAAGCGATGTTAACAAACTGATCATGTTTTAAGGCCAAGCACTACACCACTTAAAGGTATATGAGAGTTTGCTTCATCTTAATGTTATGCGGCGAAATAAGAATATCTAAGGGCATCTAACCATGCTGGTATCAAACATTCCAACTGAATGTGCTACATATCCTAATGTCGAAGATCAAGAAAATATCTGCTTTATGGATTGGTTGATTTTATTTTCATATATATTAAAGTTCAGAAAGTAACGACCCTAGTTATTATCAGATTTCGGAAGTGGCAACTTTCGAGTTCCTAAAACGTGAAGCGCATTTGTAACGATTCATTTGAATTGAATGATAAAGAGAACTGAAGGGATAAATGTTCAATTTCTTGCCTTTTGTAAGAGACATTAGCCCACTTTGGTTTAGCTTGTTGTATCTGTTCTTTCGATTGCTTCTCGAAAAGTCAAATTACGTTTGAGGTCGCTACCTTCGGGTGCTCGTGCTTCGTGACTTTATGGTATATTCCCCTCATCAATCAGTTTGAAAATGCCAAGTCAGTGGAATTTACGATTTATTGGTAATACATACCAACACAAGCTCCTTGTCTGAACGACATTAGTGGACAAAACGAGCTTCTTACATGACGAGACTTGTGTTCGACGGAAAACGACTTTTTCAACTTTAAACCTCCCATATCATCAACAACTCTGAAATGAAATGATATCACAATCCAATAAGACAACATTCCTTCATATCTTAGCTTTCTCTAAATTTCAGCTGAATGCTAGCCTGATTCTGAGGCAGTCCTGGATCGCTTACTCTCACTCCAAACTGGTTCAAAATCAGGCTAACTAAATGAAAGTTGGATTTTTTTTTTTGAAAAAGAAAAAACAAAACAAAACGAAACGAAACGAAACGAAACGAAACGAAACGAAACGAAACGAAACGAAACAAAACAAAAGAATACTTATTCTGTTACTCACCCATAGAGGCAAAGTAAATTAATGGCGACATTCACAAGAAGCACAGGATCCCGAGCTTCACGATTCATCCAGCTGCGATACGAGATGGATGTCACAGGACCAGAACTACCTTCTGCTATGGACATTCTGTAAATAAAATGAAGAATAATGAAGCAAGCTCTCGTGGAGCTAACTTGGGATTCCAATTCCCCCCTCCCCCTCCAC